CGTGTCGTAGAATAACGAGGCCTCACCCAAACACAACACCAGTTTTGATCTCGCGTTATTCTTAATATCAATTCTGGAAGAGAATTACACGTCCCGGTTTGTGCTCAGAAGCTCGTTAACGCAACGTTTCTTTTTGTAAGAACGAACTGAAATTAGGGCGTCTCTTTTTCCGTGTGTAAATATTGACGGCATGGACTTTGTATAAAGTTTGACTTTCTATGTAAATATGCGGGTGTGAAGTTCTGCTCACTCATCTTATACTATTGATTAGGGACGGCACAACGGATGAACGATTGTTTGTATTTATGCCATCATCATATATGTGTCCAAGAGATGCATTGGATATTGAATGTAACACATGTAATGAAATAAAGATTTTAATTAAATTCTTATCAGTGTGTACAACAAGTTATTACCCAATAATCATCCTTCTGGTGTGTGTGTGGGGGAGATAAACACCAAGTTATTACCCAACAATCATCTTTCATGCCTGTTTCCATGAATAGGGTACAAAATAGAGTTTGAAAATGAAGTTTGGTTTTGTTCTTATTCAACTAAAGGTCAGTGAATAGAATGCAGAACATGTTGACATCAGAAGGTCGAACTACACAATAGGAGCGTGAGTTTAATTTGAAATGCAGTTTGTGGTTCATGAATTACTGCAAAACTGATAAAAAAAAGTGTCAAATTCAACTTTCAGCAACAAACGCCTCCATTGTGGTCTTGAGTTTCTTCCGGGAACACGTCACAATATTCCTATATAGATTACTCGACCTACTTTTTAATATAATTAATATGCAGAATAAAGGGGTTAGTAGTGTGTTAAACTGGTGGTTATGAAAAGGGGCGGGGCTTTTCTCAAACACGCTCGAAGCGCTCGACCAATCACAACACACTGCGCCAGCCGACCAATCAGAGCACAGTGTGCTTTTCGGGAGGAGGGGCTTAACCAAGGCGGGAAGTAAACAGAGCGTTACTGACAGAATGGGAAGAGAGGAACCGCAACAATGAAGAATATGTGGAGATTAATCAACATTCAAGCGGGAAAACTTGTTCTAGTAGAGCCTGAAAACAACATCAAGACTGTAAAAGCATGGGGATTTACAAATCTAGATAATTCTGATCCAGATTAAACTTTTTGAACATTGTTCACCTGTTCTATGGTAAAACGGAGCTGTCTGGGCTGCAGTGCTTCTTCCGGTGGCAAGATGGCGCTGTTCCCTTCGTAGAGCTCAGGGCCAGTGAACTCAGAAAAAGAGGTTAAGAGGCGGAGCTCAAGATCTTAAAGACAGTTTATGATGAAACTGTAACAGTATTGTGTATAACCAATTTAAAAATGAAACTGGAAGGCTGAAATGCTCCCCTTTAACCTCTAAGGTACAAACTAACACTTAATTATTGTACAAATGCATATTTATTTATTAAGTTATATGATATTTTATTTAAACTGATAAGATTAAATAATGCATAAGCAGCTGCAACTGTGTGACTTAAGGGCATGACGTCACTCCAGTGGGTTTATTACGCACACACACTTACCATCCTGTCAGAGATGTGGGTCAGAGGAGTGCACATGCTCCTGAGGGATGTGTGTGTGTGCTGAATGTGACTCAAACTAAACAGAAGGCAACACAGGAAACTGTCTCACTGTGAAACAAATGCATAGGTCAAGGATACATCACCAGATGAACACACAAAGGAAAGTACAGAATGAAAGTGCACTGCTGATCTCCTTTATGAGTTTTCCCCTGATGCAATCGCCCCTGCCAGAACACGGGATAATAGAAGCGAAGATTTTACACTATTGTGGTATGTATTGCCCATTTAAATCCTACCCTACTCTTTTACCATGTTGCTATGTGTTGAATAAAGTGTTCTGGGTGGTTGCCAGGGTGTTGCCATGCAGCTGCTACGGTCTGAGTGCTTTTTAAAATGTTTGTCTGCAGTTACTAGGATGTACTGGTTGGTTGCCAGGGCATTGCTATGCAGTTCTTAGGGTATTTTGAGCATTTTTAGCGTGTTGCTATGCCATTACTAAGATGGTGGTTACCAGTGCATTGCTATACAGATGCAAAGGTATACTAGTGTGTTGCAATGTGGTGCCTTATGTTATGTTCTGAGCAATTGCCAGGGTTTGAGCATTTTGTGGTGGTTCTGAGTGTTTTTAGTGTGTTGCTATGGAGTTACTAGAATGTTCTGAGTGGTTACCAGGGCGTTGCTATGCAGCTGTTAAGTTCTGAGTGCTTTGGTTACCAGGGTGTTGCAGCTGCTAAGGTATTCCAGTGTGTTGTGATGTGACTGCAAGGTTTTCAGAATGTTTTTTAAATGTATACAGAGTTTCTGATGTGCAGTTTTCTGGCTCATCCCATATGATATTCTTATCTCTAGATTTGAAGGATTTCATTAAAGTCCCTAACCATAAGGTCTTACGGGTTTGGGACAACATGAGGGTGAGTAATTAATTGACGGAAATATTTTTTTGTGTGTGTGTGTATGAACTATCCTTTTAATCATTTTTTAACATAGTGTAATGTAACTAAATAAGACGTTTCAACATTTGTCTTTACTTTTGTTCAGTCCCTTTTGTGCAATGCAATAACTATGCCAAATTGTCACCAGCTGGTCAATGAACAGTTAACTCAAACTTGTGCGGTTTTGTCAGGGACTGATTACCCAGAACGACTCTCAAAGATCATGTGATAATGCCCTCGGGAACCTCTGACATCACTCCAAAAGAAAAATAGAAACATGATCTGTAATGCAAGATTGGTAGTGTGGATATTTCAGCTATTTTTTCTTATGCTCATGCTGATTAATTATGTATAAATAGTACATGTAGTTACTAAAACTGAAGTCTGCTTCAAGAGTTGCATTGCAACATGATGTATTTTAAAATTGCATACTACAAGTCAAGTCAAGTCACATTTATTTATATAGCGCTTTTCACAATACAGATTGTATCAAAGCAGCTTCACTGTGATAACATGAAAGTAGTACAACACAGATCAATAATATTGTTATTACAGACAGGAATGGTACCTAAAAAAAAGTTCAGGAGAGGGGTGTCATAACTTTTCCAAGTGATCAAATTTAATTTATCAGAAAATTTGGAGAAATCAGCAAAAAAAAAAAAAATCAATAGACATTTTGAAGAAATATCAGACACCATCCAGCAACCCCCAAAAGAATCAAAATTATCTATCTATCTATCTATCTATCTATCTATCTATCTATCTATCTATCTATCTATCTATCTGTCTGTCTGTCTGTCTGTCTGTCTGTCTTATTTGCCTTTTTTTTTTTTTTTAATTTTAACTTTTGCAAAACTTTTAATCAAGGCTTTGCATAAAAGAGTGTATAATCTTGGCAGAAAATGTAAAACTCAATGTCGTATCAGGACCGTCTTGCACAAACAATGTTACAACAGAAATCCCTGCTGGAACATCTTGAAAAGTTTTTTCTCAATTATTTTAAGTGTAAATGAAAAATGTGCAAGGATTGCTTTGAAATTTACCACTCTTGTCCAATCATACACTTGCAAAGCAGGTGAAAAGCCTCTGACGATATAGCAAGTAGCTTTCATTGTGTCTTTATTTCACAATAATGTCGCTGCACAGAGATGGGGAAGTGAACAGAACTTTGGATCCCTTCGCGGCTTCAGCGTTCCGTTGCACAGGATGACATCAGTGTGGTGGGACTCTGGGACTGTAATGGCTCCTGCGGGAGAGGCCGTGTCCTTCAGCTGCTGGCGCCAAGCAGGCGATTCGACCCCGCAGCGTTACCCCAGCCCTCCAGTAACACGCCTATGACAGTTCCCCAGCAGCCGTTGAAAATTGATTGAAAAAAGTTCGCATTTATTTATAAAGCGCTTTTTACAATACAGATTGTTTCAAAGCAGCTTTACAGAGATAACAGGAAAATAATGCAACAAAATTTGTTTCCAGAAGAAAATAGCGTCACAGTCCAGCTTAAGTAAGTTCAGTGATGTTTCATTTTTGTTTAAAAAAAGTTTAGTTTTAGTTTTTATAACCACTCTGGAGTAAACCACGATGTCATAGGCCAGCTCAGCCCAGCTCGGGTCTTGATACGGCCCAGATCCGGCTGACTACATCATGCGTTGTGGTTGTGTCTAGGTGTAGGTCCTCCATCTGGTTTGGATACGGCCCGGATCTGGCTGACTACATCATGCGTTGTGGTTGTGTCTAGGTGCAGGTCCTCCATCTGGTCTGGATACGGCCCGGATCTGGCTGACGACATCATGAACTTTCTGTTCATCAAAGAATCATGAAAAGGTATCATTGTTGAAATTGCAATTGTGTGCCCCTTTTTCATCCTTATTAATACACAAATTTAACAGGATTACCAAATCAAATCTAAATAGCGCAGAACCCATCAACACACAGATCTTGTTTCATCAAGAGAAGTGGTTCTTTTTTTATTATATGCGTAATGCTGCTTTGCAGAAGCTGCACAGAAGTGTCTAGCACTCTTATAAATATATATTTTTTAATTGCCATTGATGGTTCCATGAAGATCCTTCAACATCAACGGAACCTTTTTCATTCCCAAAAAAATTCTTTAGATTATTCAAATGTTCTTCACACTATAAGAAAAAGGGTTCTTTTAAGAACTCTTCACTGAAAGGCTCTTTTTGGAACCCCAAATTTTTCTTCAGTGGCATCACTGTGAAAACACCCTTTTGGAAGCTTTCTTTTAATGCGTGGAGTTCAGAGCATCACTGGTTATTGAGAACGTTGGGATGTAGATTGTCCTCTTTCTACTCTGGTTCATGCTCCCTGTCTGAACTCCCAGAGCTGTCACTGTTGGCACATGCATTACCTCTGCCGCCCCCCTTACCCTGACCCACTGTCCGCACCGGCACCCTCCTCATGGGTACCAGCCCGACCCCCTTTCTCTCTCTCTCTCTCTCTCTCTCTCTCTCTCTCTCTCTCTCTCTCTCTCTCCACAGGCTCGTCTTCCTTTAGTTGCAGCCAGCCCTCTTCTTGAACCGCTGCCAACGGAGGCCGGCCCTGAACGCCACAGCTGAAAGTTTTACAAGCGATTGGGTCGGAAGGCAGGAAGACAGACTGAGAGATTTGTAAGGACAGCTTCTCTTTCTCTATTCACTTGTGCTCTTGTGCTTTATTTATATCCGTCCCTCTCCCTCTCTCTCTCTCTCTCCCAGTCAGGCGTCAAGAAATGGCTCTTTCTTTTACCCGAGAGAGCAAAAGTGGGAGAAAATGCAACATGGTAAGAAATAAATGGACAAATAACAAAAGGACGTAAGGAGGGTGCTGACGTCACACACTGTGCTGCCCATGACAATGCCTGAAAGAAGACAGGACGATTGCAACTCTTTCCCTCCCTCTCTCTCACCATCTCTGCCCCGTCAGGAAAGGGGTGGCACACTTTTTGGCAGGGTGACACTGGATTATTTCAGAGCGTTCTGCCTGGGACGCGGTTTCTCTACAGCTGAGCAGAGCAGCGTTACCACAAACTTTCAGCACAAGTGCTGTGACAAGTGACTGCCTTGCTCTCTTTGTCCTGGCGCCTCGGGTTGAACTTTCTCACTCCGTCCTCTCGCCTCAGCGCAGCAAGGACTCTTTGAGGACTCAGACTCTATTTTTTTGTCTGTTTTACCTGGAAAAGCTGACGACCGTGAACTTTCCTCACTCGAACCTTTGATTCGGTTTGAATATGCACATCGCAAAGGCACTAAAGTTGATGTGCACAAATGCCTATGATTAAATCTTAAAAAGCATACATGCATAAAAAATGCAGGCAATGGAAGGACAGCTAAAGATGCTTCCGAAAAAGAGGAATCGAAAGGCTTGTAATGCCTAGGACGGATGCCAAATGCTGACAAAAGACTTCTTTGGGGAGACTTTGCTCTATTTCAGGACGTGTGTCAGATCGTTGGGACTGAGTAAGTACATGTACCTCATGTCGAAACGCTCCTGAGGGATAGGTTGAGATTTGCTTATTTCGCTTGGTTTTGGACCAAGCTCCACTCCCCGCTTTCGGGCCCGAGCCAGGTGACGGTGTTTTGCGGTTCATGCCAACTCCCATTGAGGTCTTAAACGTGGAGGACTGACTGCTAACCCAACAACAACAACAGATGAACGGTGAAAGGTGGCAGCAAAAGTAGCCGCCTTGTTTTCTTTTCCTTTCTCATGCTGTTGTGACCTCTCTCTCCTTTTTTCTCTCGCTCGTTCTCGCTCTTTTGGCAGCGGGGCTGAAGTGGGCAGGCGGATAGGAGGGCATAGCTGAATCTGCTCAGCGTTGGCAAGGGCTCGTGTGAGAAGGGCTGTTCGCTCGTACACCTCTCTCTGCTTTTCCCCTTGTCTCGCGAGTGACATGGAAACGGTCTCTCCTCTTCTTTCTTCCTCCCTGCTGGTTTTTGTTGCATTTTTCGATCGTCGTAGAGTTGTACTTTACCCCATCGGGAGCGTCCTGCGACAAAAAAACAAATCTCTTTACTCAGGTACTTCCAGAATTTGATTTTTGTTTGAATGTCCATCTTGCAATTTTGACTTTCTCGTGTTGCAATAACGTCATTTTCTAGGACTTTCGCCTCTCCTCATCCTCATCTTCCTCTAGCACATGTCTTTTATCTGTTGCCGCCATTATTAAGTATATCTTTCATTTCTTTTGGATGAGACATTCAACACATTTTTTGTTTAACTATTGTTAGATAAACCACAAATATATCGGGCGACTAGTGATTTTGCATGTTTTTACGCCTGGTTTGTCTTGTGTCCGTATGTGACCGCTGTTTCTTTTTTAAATAAAACTTATTCGCAAAATAGCTTTCAATAAGAGGCTATACAAACGGATTATCCATTTACAGTAAAATTGTAAAGCATTATAAAGCTAAACTACTCTCTATTGTGCTAAGTTACACGTCTAAGGCCTTCACAACAAAGAGCAGCGCTTTGCCAAACTACACCGGGAGAAGAAAAATGAACCTTACAATCTCACTGATGCAAAATACTTCATATCATAATCAATCTTTGTTACTTCTGGTTGTTAAGTGTACAAATCTGTACCTCGTCTACCATGTTTAGAGGAACTGAGCCTTAGATAGGACTGAAACAGACCATAGAGAAGAATAGGCTGAATAAAATCACGAGCAAAAATTAAGCATATAAATACTAATAATCAATATAAAACAAAATCCTTTTTAATCTAATCCTGTAAAAATCCAGATTTTCAATTCTGGACACAGTGCAGTTTTAATCACCATTATTAATATATATATATACACAACAAAAAGTAATCATACAAATAACATTAAAACACACACACTTCAAGTTTCTTTTGTTTCATCTTTGAATTAGCATTTGAAAATGATTTATGCAGTTTGATTATACATTGCGTTTCCGTTCCAAAGCAGCTCATGTTTTGTTAGTCCAACTACTTTTAGTTCATTAACACTGTCAACAAAGAATTGTAATTCTTTTCGAGATGTAAGATGTAAATGAAAGCTGCACTGAACTCTATACAAAGAGAAAACCGAGTAAGAAAAAAAAATCCAATAAGGTGGTGGGTGGAGAGATAGATAAAAAAAAAAAATGAAAACACTTCCTCCACCCCTCCCTCACTATCCTCAGATGAACTTGTCACGTTACTTGATGATTTTTTTCTTCTCTGGCCTGCCCTCTCTACTTCCTGCTATTTTTGTGCTCCCTCCCTCTCTCTTCACTCTTTCTCTCTGTGTCGGTGTGGTAACCAGAAACAAAGTCACCGTACCTTTATCTGGAAAAATATTTTAGTAATCACCTGCAATTCAGAAGCAATGACACCACAAACAGCTTCACGTTATGGAGAAAAAGAGGATATCAACCGAAGCCAGGAACTTAGAGCAGCCTGACATTAACCGGAGCAGGTATTTGTTGCTATTCTGATTCAAGGTCTTATTTTGTAGCAGTTCAGATCACATTTGTCTCACATGTATCAGCAAGAACGTTAACCGATCAAGTTGTGTGTTCGAGTAGTTTCCTTCAAAAGCACATGGCGTTTTCATGCACATGCTGCATGCTCATTTAAAGCAGTACTTTACAATGTTAAAATACGCTCTGCTATCCTAGCTTAACGTAACAACTAGTAAGTTGTTCAGAGGTTGATTTCTCAAAAAATAACACTTAGACTCTTTCAAAACGGCTTGTTTGAGAATCCTGACCAATGGCGTGAGTTTGAGGGCAGGGTTATCTGTTCGTCGGGCCGAATGTACCATGCATGGAGTGTTTGGAAAACCTATTTGGAAGCAATCATATAGTGATGGTTGTGCAGAAATTGCATTTTGTAATATACTATGAGGCCTACTTAACAAGTGTGAACAATTGTGATACCAAATTGGATGGAAAAAGTTGGTTTCGCATTTCCCGTTTTATGCTCTAGAAACCCTCTATTTTTGCAACCTGAGTGCCAAATGTTGTAAGCTGTGTCTGTTTGCAATACAGCTATCGCATTGATAAGCGCTGAACTTAGCATGAGTGCATGCACAAACAAGGTCAACAGGCACTTCCTGTTTAGAATTGCTATTTTTATGTGTGTTTAAAGGCCTCTGGATGTGTACCACTGCACAAGCGTGGGTTTGCACACCCTGCATTGGTCGACAAAGGTCCAGATGACAGTTTTACTAACTCAGATGTGGGAAGTGAAGTGTCATCTCACTTTAAATGAGCATGTAGGACTAAAGTTACTCACTTTCAAATGGTATAGTGTGGCTATAGTATCGCAGCAATAATGGTTTCTCTTATTAAAAGTGGCACCATATTAAGATAAAAAATACTGAAAACTTATTTTGAAAGAGAAATCAAACTTCATCATGTCGTATTGTTTATTGGACTTATTGTTTGTGATGCGTCAGTGTACATTAACCAAAAATAAATAAATAATATTACTTAAAAGTAGGGCTGTGCAAAAATCAATTGCGATTAATCGCATCCAAAATAAATGTTTGTGTTTACATAATATATGTGTGTGTGCTGTGTAAAATTATTTTGTATATATAAATACATATGCATGCATGTATATATTTAAGAATTATTTGCACGTAAATACTGCATAAATACGGTACATAATCTATATTATATACAACACATTTTCTTAAATATACACATGCATGTGTGTGTATTTACTCTCACCTAAAGGATTATTAGGAACACCTGTTCAATTTCTCATTAATGCAATTATCTAATCAACCAATCACATGGCAGTTGATTCAATGCATTTAGGGGTGTGGTCCTGGTCAAGACAATCTCCTGAACTCCAAACTGAATGTCAGAATGGGAAAGAAAGGGGATTTAAGCAATTTTGAGCGTGGCATGCTTGTTGGTGCCAGACTATATTCACAATCTGCTCAGTTACTGGGATTTTCACACACAACCATTTCTAGGGTTTACAAAGAATGCTGTGAGAAGGGAAAAACATCCAGTTTGCGGCAGTCAGCCAGTATGAGCTACAACAGCAGAAGACCCCACCGGGTACCACTCATCTCCACTACAAATAGGAAAAAGAGGCTACAATTTGCAAGAACTCACCAAAACTGGACAGTTGAAGACTGGAAAAACGTTGCCTGGTCTGATGAGTCTCGATTTCTGTTGAGACATTCAGATGGTAGAGTCAGAATTTGGCAGAATGAGAACATGGATCCATCATGCCTTGTTCCCACTGTGCAGGCTGGTGGTGGTGGTGTAATGGTGTGGGGGATGTTTTCTTGGCACACTTTAGGCTCCTTAGTGCCAATTGGGCATCGTTTAAATGCCACGGCCAACCTGAGCATTGTTTCTGACCATGTCCATCCCTTTATGGCCACCATGTCCCCATCCTCTGATGGCTACTTCCAGCAGGATAATGCACCATGTCACAAAGCTGGAATCATTTCAAATTGGTTTCTTGAACATGACAATGAGTTGACTGTACTAAAATGGCCCCCACAGTCACCAGATCTCAACCCAATAGAGCATCTTTGGGATGTGGTGGAACGGGAGCTTCATCCCACAAATCTCCATCAACTGCAAGATGCGATCCGATCAATATGGGCCAACATTTCTGAAGAATGCTTTCAGCACCTTGTTGAATCAACGCCACGTAGAATTAAGGCAGTTCTGAAGGCGAAAGGGGGTCAAACACAGTATTAGTATGGTGTTCCTAATAATCATTTTGGTGAGTGTACATATACAAAATAATTATACACAGCACACACAAATATATTATTGAAAAACAAAATTTTATTTTGGATGCGATTAATCCTAATGAATCTTTGCACAGCCCTAATTAAAAGGTATAAACTATGATTTAGACATCATATCAGTTAAATATTTTCTTGAATTAAGCTTTTATAAAATATCAGAAGAAAATAAGTAGCATGTTGTGCACACAAGTATGTTTGATTCTCTTTCTACAACTAAATGAAGGTTCAAGTAAAAGTTTAGTAGGTTTGAACAGACAGGGAAATGTTGACAGCTGAGGTGGAATAAAAACGTACCTTTGTGTTAAACCACAAGATCGAGGTTATAGGGAAACTGAACCACTTCCGCTGACAAGCATGCTGCTAGTTTTCTTGAACTCACTATATTATTACAAACATGCCATTGCCAAATATAATATACCAAATGGTGTTTTAATCACAGATATGATCTAGTTTTGTATATATATATATATATATATATATATATATATATATATATATATATATATATATATATATATATGAATCTACACTCTGCTATAGAGAGTTTATATAATACTGTAGAGCTCCGTTCCTTTGCTTTCCATATATTATCTCTCACAAGACATGAAGATTTAGCCTCATGTTGACATAGCCATTACTTTGTGTAATGATCCATGGACTTCAGTGAGACGTGGACCATATACTGTGATGGAACAACAAATAGTCCTTTTAAGATCCCAGAAAAATGTCAAACGAGGTCATAGCACCAGATAGAAACAGCCCAGAGAAACACTTGAAGCAGTGAGCTGCCTACCTAGACAACATTATTGTGCATCATGAGCACACACTCCAAAAAAGTGTTCAGCATGTCGCTTGATAACATACCTTCATTTTAATGTTGTCCTTTGTGGATAAGGCAAGCCCAGAATGCACTGTGGCAAGCTGGAAGACAGAGGGAAATAAGTTATTATAAACATACATCTGATTTAAAACTAAAAAGTAAAAATAGTTCCATCGAAAAAAAAATGTACCCAATATTTTTGTCTGCTAAGCATGTTTGTGCTTCGCAACATGCCAACATCAGACTCTATGGACCTTCTTCACAGATGGTGATAATGCGCTTCCACAGTTATCGTAAATTAAATTTTTTATATTTTCATAAAAAATATATGTGGCTACGATTTACTAAAAAAAGGGAATGAATTAATCCAACGTAGCTATGATTGACAAAAACAAAGGATCGAATTAGTCCAACTTAGCTGTGATTTACTAAATCGAGGGACTTAACTAGTCCATCGTAGACTTACTAAAACGAATCAGTCCGACGTGGCTATGACTTACTAAAACAAATTAACTAAAACTACGACTCACTAAATCTGGGGATTGGACTAGTGCAATATAGATACAATTTACTAAAACGAATCAGCCCAACGTGGCTGCGACTTACTAAAACAAATTAACTAAAAACTACAACTTACTAAATCTAAGGATTGAACTAGTCCAACGTGGCTACGACTTACTAAAACTAATCAGTCCAATGTGGCTACGACTTACTAAAACAAATTAAATAAAACTATGATTTACTAAATCTAGGGATTGAACTAGTCCAACGTGGCTACGACTTACTAAAACAAATTAAATAAAACTACGATTTACTAAATCTACGGATTGAACTATTTCAACGTAGCTACGATTTACTAAAACGAATTAGTCCAATGTGGCTACGACGTACTAAAACGTATGATCGAATTAGTCCAACGTGCCTGCGACTTACTAAAACGAATCAGTCCAATGTGGCTACGACATACTAAAACAAATTAAATAAAACTACGATTTACTAAATCTAGGGATTGAACTAGTCCAACGTGGCTACGACTTACTAAAACAAATTAAATAAAATTACGATTTACTAAATCTACGGATTGAACTATTTCAACGTAGCTACGATTTACTAAAACTAATTAGTCCAATGTGGCTACGACGTACTAAAACGTATGATCGAATTAGTCCAACGTGCCTGCGACTTACTAAAACGAATCAGTCCAATGTGGCTACGACGTACTAAAACAAATTGAATAAAACTACGATTTACTAAATCTAGGGATTGAACTAGTCCAACGTGGCTACGACTTATTAAAACAAATTAAATAAAACCACAATTTACTAAATCTAGGGATTTAACTAGTTCAATGTAGCTACGATTTACTAAAACTAATTAGTCCAATGTGGCTACGACGTACTAAAACGTATGATCGAATTAGTCCAATGTGGCTGCGACTTACTAAAACAAATTAACTAAAAGTACAACTTACTAAATCTAGGGATTAAACTGGTCCAATATAGCTACGATTTACTAAAACGAATCAGTTCAACGTGGCTGCGACTTACTAAAACAATTTAACTAAAAATACAACTTACTAAATCTAGGGATTGAACTAATCCAACGTGGCTACGACTCACTAAAACGAATCAGTCCAATGTGGCTACGATTTACTAAAACAAATTAAATAAAACTACGATTTAATAAATCTAGGGATTGAACTAGTTCAACGTAGCTACGATTTACTAAAACTAATTAAATAAAACTACGATTTACTAAATCTAGGGATTGAGCTAGTCCAAAGTAGCTATGATTTACTAAAACAAATTAGTCAAATGTGGCTACGACGTACTAAACCATACAGTATATGATCGAATTAGTCCAACGTGGCTAAATTTACTAAAACTTTGTGGTTATGATTTATATATATATATCTCCGTACGGTATAGAAACACTATCGTGGATTTTTTGCTTTGGAATGGGAATGCAAAAGTTATATTTGTTGTGGTTTCATTCAGCACTATAGAAGTTTACCCAACTATGATGATGACTTCTGTTCCTGAGAACCCTGGATGTGATAAGAGTCCATTGCGCTCAACATATTATTAGCACTTAACAAATTTGTAACCTAAAAAAAAACAAAAAAAACATTTTAAATGCTTGAGTATACATTAAAATTCATTTTCGATTTCTCAGCTCTTTGTCTGATCCAACATCTCAATTATGAGACTTCAGCCTCCACTCCGCCTGGTCTTTTTCACACTGACCCGCTGTCTCGGCCAACTGCCAGGCCAAAACATTTCAATCACTGCCATTAATTAGGCCAAAGAGGAATTCGGAATGTCTTTCAGTGCCTCCGGTTCACATGCTAATTTATGCAAAGAGTGAGACGGTGCCACCGCCCCACGATTTGCCATGGCACTCCATTCTTTTGGCCCGCCCTGGTGACCCCCGTCTGCCAGACATCTACCACACCATCATCTGTGTAGATTAAATGGCATTACAACAATGCAACATTTTTATTGAATATATTATTATTACAAATTATATATACATACATATTTTCACAACTTAAATATGATATATACACTACCGTTTGGATTAAGATTATTTATATTTTTCTCTTCTGCTCACCAAGACTGCATTTTATTTACATTGAAGAATTTTCCATTCTTCAATGTCACATGATCCTTCAAAAATCACTCTCAAATGATTTGCTGCTGTAAAATTGCCTTACAGTATCATTTAACTACCATGACCCATGAATATGGTAATCAAACAGACCAAGAGTATATTTACAGTTCCTCCTACAGTAGGATACTCAATATGAAGAATATGAGTGAATTCCTGAAATAAGCATGAGCAGGTTTTGTCTTTACACATTCTTGACTTCTAACTGAACATTAAGATGGCAGGAAGGCGGCCATTTTGTTTGGACTTTTTCCCTCCCTTTCATGCTTTGCTAGCAGACAACATGTAGCATTTTTTAAAGACAGACAGCTTGGAAAGCTGCGTTAAAATTCAGTGAGGTACCTGATGGCAATTAAACGGCACACCACACCACAGGTGTGTGAAGGTAGCAAAGAAAATTGGCGGTATTACGTGTGCGGCTCACCGCTAGGAGTTCTGCCTGAAATGCTTGCTAATCCTTCAAAAGCAAAGCAGGAAGAGACAAAGAAGGAAATACTTAAAATTTCCCCTTACATACTAAGGTATTTGTAAACTACAACAAATGTGACATTTTTGTTAAATCGAGTCCAGTGTTTTACTTTATAATGTTTTGACTGTTGATATTCAATTAAATAATTACTTTTTGCAAAGTAAAATAAATCTTGCTTATTTTACACTTTGGCAAGAACAAATTACAGTTTTTGTCACACTAAAAAATTTAAATATTTTTAATGGGTGATACTTTTAGTGTCTTCCAAATAAAACGTATTATTATTCTAAAAAGAACAATATGGATAGTGCATAAACATTATGAAAGGTACAATTTTTGTATGACTCATAATACATAAATAATGTCTTTCCCCCTCTTTCTTTCATCCCTGTGCAGACCCGGTGAAGAAACTAAAGCCACTGCATGTTTGTTTGCTGTCCCCAAAGCTGAGGTAGTAGATTGAATAGTTGTGGAGTATAAAACCTCCCTATGAGATAACTATACAATCTACTGTCTTTCTTACGGAGACAGATTAACCAGCTGTCGAATGAAGAAACTGGAGTTCATGCTCCTGTACAGTGACACTGAAGATCCGTGTGTATCTACAAGCTGAGGTAGTAGGTTGTATAGTTTGTGGGAAGGATCACATCCTATTTGGGTGATAACTATACAGTCTATTGCCTTCCTTGAGAGACGCAATGAGCAAGAGTAAAAACAGATCATTATGAACATCAAGAGAAAGAGTTACTGGAGAATATTTAACCCCCTCAGACCTGAATTATATTTCAAGTTTCTGAAAAATATAAATGTACATTTTCCCAGCTCATGAGGTTTCTATAAATGAAAACAAATGAAATGTTTTATTTTTTTAATATAATGGGCTATATGCACGCATAAGTTCTGCATTTGATGCAAGGATGCTCGTCAGTTTCCGGTTGGGGAGATTAAACTGGAGGAAAACCGAGGAAAACGGATTATGGCAGAGTCTTCAAAATTTACTGTCCTCCCGTCTTTGAAACGAAACGTACATACGATTAGATGTAATTTTATATATACTGATGTTTATTTAATATAATTTTAAAAAGAAGCATAAACACAACGAGGGGTGTCCGGCGGAAGTTATCGAGCATCCTTACATATTCACCAGAAATACCGCCGTGCATAGAGCCCATTGCTTTCATTGTGATTTTTTTTGTCTATGGACATCAGGTCAAAACAGGTGTACTTCCCAAAAATGTACCAACATGAAATAAATTAATAAACATAAAATTTGTTGGTCTATACTTTAAGCTTTTTCTCAAGGTCAAAAAAATTCCAGCAGTATAACATTTCAACTATAATTTGGAGGTTTTTGTTTTACAGATTGCACTTTGTTTGTAACAAACTAAACATATTCGAATCAATCAATCTGGTCATATTAGATTTTCTGTGTGTCATTTTCTGTGTGCATCACTTTACATTTTAATATTATAACATTACAACTTTAATCGTAAGGTTTTTCCTTTATATTGCACATTTGTTTATTCATAACAAAATAAACCTAGGAATCAATCAATGCATTCATGTTAGAGTCATTTCCTGTCTGCATCCTGTGTTTTCTTGTATTTTTACAGTACTGGCAGGACGGTTGGCAGCAAGTCACTGTATTTCGATTTCCAGCAACTCAAGCTAGTCCAAGGCCGAAAAAAAGGTCTATTCCGTCCTTGGGCCGTAGGCAAACGGACATGGGGTGGCGGACGAGCGCGCCGGCCCCCTGAAATTTTTGGTGGACCGGCTGATGGCGCCCCCGGGCCTCGTCGAAAGGGACAAGGTGGACGGGCGTGTCGGACACACTCTGACCCCCCCGGGGGGGCAACGGGAGGAGCCCGAAGTTTCGGGACCCCCGAGGCAGTTCTGCAAAGGCCCCCTTGGTGGAGCCACCCTCGAAACGTCCCACGAACCCACTATTCGTCCAACCGACCACCGCTTCCACAGGGCGTCCGGCAACCACCCACTGACTGGTCCCCGGACACGCCCCCATCCCACGAACCCATGATTTGCCCAATAACCCACTATATTTTTAAAAGTTTTTCTGCAGTTCATTCAATATGCTGCAATTGGACGCGGTCCCACCGGCAATCTATTGAATGGGGATTTGGGTAGTGTATTTGATGGACATTTTAAATAAAGTTCCTGTCATGAAGAAAACCATTTTACAGCACTCAGTGGGGCCCCCTGAGTCCGTGGCACCAAATGCCATCCCATAATTCCACTGTCCAAGAACCCACTATGTGCCCAATAACCCACTATATTTGAAAAGTACTAACCCTGGCCTTCATGCAATAAGCTGCAATTGGACAGAATCCCACCTGCAATCTATTGAATGGGGATTTGGTTAGTGTATTTTTGGACATTTTAATTAAAGTTTCTTTCGAGATAAAAACTATTTTACTGCACTCAGCTGGGCCCCTGAGTCTGTAGCACCAAGCGCCATCCCATAATTCGACCATCCACGAATCCACTATTTTTATAATGGCATAAATGCTACGTGGGCATTTCCCGTGGGCATTTTCTACGACACCCTTTCGGGGGTTTTTTTCGGGTGAAAAATTACGTTTCTCTGATCTTCTCAAAACTCTGCATTCTGATAGAGGGCCATGAGACTAAGACCTGAGTGCAAAAAAAACGACAGTGTTACCCCTTACGTTTTTTTTTTTGGGCGAAAAATTTAGGGCCAATCCCAATTCTACCACTTACCCCTTCACTTTCCCCTTCCCCTCCGTTTTGCGCGTCCATGTGAAGGGGTAGGGTTGTCCCAATTCTCTTTTGGTTGGAGGGGGAGGGCTAGCGGGAAGGGCCAGATAGCCCTTCAAACGAAGATTTTTCGGGAGCACACTTCAAACTAAGGGGTATGCGAAGTGTCACTGCTAACCCAGGCTGGCTGCCCAAGCGACAAAGGAGACCCATAAATTTAAGTATTTGTGGCTTTAATAAGTATTGCAACGACAAATAATGATTTGCTTTATATTACATTCAATATTGTGTTCATATTTACGGTCAGTTTCTTCACAGAAACGTTTGTAAAAAAAAAAAAAATCGCTAAAATTACTGTAGTTTGCTAACGATAGTCCCACAACATATTTTCGTCGTCTCCGTTGTTTCTTGCGAACTTCACAAGATAAATGCAAGAAAATAGCTGTAACCCACGCGACTGAGATAACTGCAGCTGTCGACGGCATCTTGGAAGTTGTGATAAACATCAGCGCATCTCCTGTGACGTAGGCGCTAGCGACGACTTATAATGACGTTTAACGGAGGCGTAGTGGTGTCCCATTTCTTAGGGGAATATTTTCACCCCTACGCATTGCCACTCTGTTTCAAGGGTCAAGGGGAAGGCGAAGGGGTAGGGCTAGGAGAAAGTGAAGGGGTGAGGGGTAGAATTGGGATTGGCCCTTAGTATCCCCAATCTTCTCGAAACTCTGGATTCTGATAGAGGGCACTGAGACTTACACCTGAGCGCAAAAATGGAGGCTCTAGACCCTTCCAGAGCTGAGATATCGAAACTCAAAATTTCGACCCGAAAAAAAAACGACAGTGTTACCCCTTACGTTTTCTTTTTTTGGGGCGAAAAATGTAGTATCCCCAATCTTCTCGAAACTCTGGATTCTGATAGAGGGCACTGAGACTTACACCTGAGCGCAAAAATGGAGGCTCTAGACCCTTCCAGAGCTGAGATATCGAAACTCAAAATTTCGACCCGAAAAAAACAACAACAGTGTTACCCCTTACGTTTTTTTTTTTGGGCGAAAAATTTAGTATCCCCAATCTTCTCGAAACTCTGGATTCTGATAGAGGGCACTGATGCTTACACCTGAGTGCAAAAATGGAGGCTCTAGACCCTTCCAGAGCTGAAATATTGAAACTCAAAATTTCGACCCGAAAAAAAAACGACAGTGTTACCCCTTACGTTTTTTTTTTTTGGGCGAAAAATTAAGTATCCCAATCTTCTCGAAACTCTGGATTCTGATAGAGGGCACTGAGACTTACACCTGAGCGCAAAAATGGAGGCTCTAGACCCTTCCAGAGCTGAGATATCAAAACTCAAAATTTCGACCCGAAAAAAAAACGACAGTGTTACCCCTTACGTTTTTTTTTTGGGCGAAAAATTAAGTATCCCCAATCTTCTCGAAACTCTGGATTCTGATAGAGGGCACTGAGACTTACACCTGAGCGCAAAAATGGAGGCTCTAGACCCTTCCAGAGCTGAGATATCGAAACTCAAAATTTCGACCCGAAAAAAAAACGACAGTGTTACCCCTTACGTTTTTTTTTGGGGCAAAAAATTAAGTATCACCAATCTTCTCGAAACTCTGGATTCTGATAGAGGGCACTGAGACTTAGACCTGAGTGCAAAAATGGAGGCTCTAGACCCTTCCAGAGCTGAGATATCGAAACTCAAAATTTTGACCTGAAAAAAAAACGACAGTGTTACCCCTTACGTTTTTTTTTTGGGCGAAAAATTAAGTATCCCCAATCTTCTCGAAACTCTGGATTCTGATAGAGGGCACTGAGACTTACACCTGAGCGCAAAAATGGAGGCTCTAGACCCTTCCAGAGCTGAGATATCGAAACTCAAAATTTCGACCCGAAAAAAAAACGACAGTGTTACCCCTTACGTTTTTTTTTTTTGGCGAAAAATTAAGTATCCCCAATCTTCTCGAAACTCTGGATTCTGATAGAGGGCACTGAGACTTACACCTGAGCGCAAAAATGGAGGCTCTAGACCCTTCCAGAGCTGAGATATCGAAACTCAAAATTTCGACCCGAAAAAAAAACGACAGTGTTACCCCTTACGTTTTTTTTTTTGGGGCGAAAAATTAAGTATCCCCAATCTTCTCGAAACTCTGGATTCTGATAGAGGGCACTGAGACTTACACCTGAGCGCAAAAATGGAGGCTCTAGACCCTTCCAGAGCTGAGATATCGAAACTCAAAATTTCGACCCGAAAAAAAAAAACGACAGTGTTACCCCTTACGTTTTTTTTTGGGGGGAAAAAAATTAAGTATCACCAATCTTCTCGAAACTCTGGATTCTGATAGAGGGCACTGAGACTTACACCTGAGTGCAAAAATGGAGGCTCTAGACCCTTCCAGAGCTGAGATATCGAAACTCAAAATTTCGACCCGAAAAAAAACGACAGTGTTACCCCTTACGTTTTTTTTTTTGGGCGAAAAATTAAGTATCCCCAATCTTCTCGAAACTCTGGATTCTGATAGAGGGCACTGAGACTTACACCTGAGCGCAAAAATGGAGGCTCTAGACCCTTCCAGAGCTGAGATATCGAAACTCAAAATTTCGACCCGAAAAAAAAACGACAGTGTTACCCCTTACGTTTTTTTTTTTTGGGCGAAAAATAAAGTATCCCCAATCTTCTCGAAACTCTGGATTCTGATAGAGGGCACTGAGACTTACACCTGAGTGCAAAAATGGAGGCTCTAGACCCTTCCAGAGCTGAGATATCGAAACTCAAAATTTCGACCCGAAAAAAAAACGACAGTGTTACCCCTTACGTTTTTTTTTTGGGGCGAAAAATTAAGTATCCCAATCTTCTCGAAACTCTGGATTCTGATAGAGGGCACTGAGACTTAGACCTGAGTGCAAAAATGGAGGCTCTAGACCCTTCCAGAGCTGAGATATCGAAACTCAAAATTTCGACCCGAAAAAAAAAACGACAGTGTTACCCCTTACGTTTTTTTTTTGGGCGAAAAATTAAGTATCCCCAATCTTCTCGAAACTCTGGATTCTGATAGAGGGCACTGAGACTTACACCTGAGTGCAAAAATGGAGGCTCTAGACCCTTCCAGAGCTGAGATATCGAAACTCAAAATTTCGACCCGAAAAAAAAACGACAGTGTTACCCCTTACGTTTTTTTTTTTGGGCGAAAAATTAAGTATCCCCAATCTTCTCGAAACTCTGGATTCTGATAGAGGGCACTGAGACTTACACCTGAGTGCAAAAATGGAGGCTCTAGACCCTTCCAGAGCTGAGATATCGAAACTCAAAATTTCGACCCGAAAAAAAAACGACAGTGTTACCCCTTACGTTTTTTTTTTGGGGCGAAAAATTAAGTATCCCCAATCTTCTCGAAACTCTGGATTCTGATAGAGGGCACTGAGACTTACACCTGAGTGCAAAAATGGAGGCTCTAGACCCTTCCAGAGCTGAGATATCGAAACTCAAAATTTCGACCCGAAAAAAAAACGACAGTGTTACCCCTTACGTTTTTTTTTTGGGGCGAAAAATTAAGTATCCCCAATCTTCTCGAAACTCTGGATTCTGATAGAGGGCACTGAGACTTACACCTGAGTGCAAAAATGGAGGCTCTAGACCCTTCCAGAGCTGAGATATCGAAACTCAAAATTTCGACCCGAAAAAAAAACGACAGTGTTACCCCTTACGTTTTTTTTTTGGGGCGAAAAATTAAGTATCCCCAATCTTCTCGAAACTCTGGATTCTGATAGAGGGCACTGAGACTTACACCTGAGTGCAAAAATGGAGGCTCTAGACCCTTCCAGAGCTGAGATATCGAAACTCAAAATTTCGACCCGAAAAAAAAACGACAGTGTTACCCCTTACGTTTTTTTTTTGGGCGAAAAATTAAGTATCCCCAATCTTCTCGAAACTCTGGATTCTGATAGAGGGCACTGAGACTTACACCTGAGTGCAAAAATGGAGGCTCTAGACCCTTCCAGAGCTGAGATATCGAAACTCAAAATTTCGACCCGAAAAAAAAACGACAGTGTTACCCCTTACGTTTTTTTTTTTGGGCGAAAAATTAAGTATCCCCAATCTTCTCGAAACTCTGGATTCTGATAGAGGGCACTGAGACTTACACCTGAGTGCAAAAATGGAGGCTCTAGACCCTTCCAGAGCTGAGATATCGAAACTCAAAATTTCGACCCGAAAAAAAAACGACAGTGTTACCCCTTACGTTTTTTTTTTGGGGCGAAAAATTAAGTATCCCCAATCTTCTCGAAACTCTGGATTCTGATAGAGGGCACTGAGACTTACACCTGAGTGCAAAAATGGAGGCTCTAGACCCTTCCAGAGCTGAGATATCGAAACTCAAAATTTCGACCCGAAAAAAAAACGACAGTGTTACCCCTTACGTTTTTTTTTTGGGCGAAAAATTAAGTATCCCCAATCTTCTCGAAACTCTGGATTCTGATAGAGGGCACTGAGACTTACACCTGAGTGCAAAAATGGAGGCTCTAGACCCTTCCAGAGCTGAGATATCGAAACTCAAAATTTCGACCCGAAAAAAAAACGACAGTGTTACCCCTTACGTTTTTTTTTTTGGGGCGAAAAATTAAGTATCCCCAATCTTCTCGAAACTC